CATTTGTACTGCTTTATAGGTTAATTAACTGTTGATTTCTTGTGTTATGTATCTATCTAAATATATATAAAATTATTAGTGTCCTGGTTTTGTTTCTCTAAAGAACCTTGTAACATAGTCACTCTTTCTTCTTCTCAAGATTGTTCTGTCCAAAATGTGGTGTGAATAAGTCCCTATATTACACGTAGAATCTAGGATCCTATAACAAAGGTCAATTGAAACCATTTGTTTCCTGGGCTTCAATAAGAATTTGTTTTAACCAGCTTATAAATTCTGAGTATTTAAAAAATACTCATATCCAGATTGTCTGGGACCATGAGCACAGACATAAGGGTATGTGGAGGAACAGGATGTGGAATGAGTAGCCTGGTTGGCCGTCCAGCATCCACATCTCTTCTTTTCAGCTGCTCCGCTGGGTGATTGTTTAGTACACCATTGCTCCACTTTTAGAATTTGTGTTTGATGAGACTCCAAGCCAGGTGAGATCCAGGTGAAGCACAAATCTTGGATGAATGAGCCAGCAGACACATGGCACTGCCTGACCCCAGCTGCTGGCTCAGGAGCAAGCACACAGTCCAATCAGGTTCAATGGGAGTCTGGGTAAATTGGGGCCTCAGGCAGATTGTCCTTCTCACTAAATCAAGCTAAACTGGTGAAGTGTGCAAAATCTGGGTGCTGTTCTGGCCCCAGGAGGGGAACATACCTTTGAAAATGGGACCAACAGCAAAGAGGACAGACAGAGATGGACAGAGAAATAGCCATGGTCATCTAAGGCCTGAATTACACATCACATTTAAAATCACTATTGGACTTCTCCTCAGTTATGTGAGGGAAGGTTGCATGTTTTGAAAACCAATTTGTTTACTTTCAAGCAAGCGGCCATCTAGCCCAGAAGCAACAAAGCCCACATGGAAGCAGCACACCAACATGTGTGATCATGAAGGGCCAAAGGGACCAGGCTTTAAACACCAAAGGTGGGGTGGGGAATCATATCCTCGTCAATGAGGGTGGCGCATGATGGAGACCCAATGCCCATCTCTAGACAACTGGACATACCTTGCAGAGGGGTAGTGGGGAGATGAGTCACTTAGGGTACAGTATAGCAATAATGAAACCCACAACCTTCCTCTAGTTCTTAAACGCTTCCTCCCACCAACTACCAGGACCCCAATTTTGCCTTGCAGACCTGGTTAGACCGATGATGCACAGCGGTACAGATGGGAATTGGAAACGCAGGGAATCTAGGACAGATGAACCTCTCAGGACCAGGGGTGACAGTGGCGATACCAGGAGGGAAAGGGGGTGTAGAAAGGGGGAATGGATCACAGGGAGCTACATATAACCTCCTCTCTGGGGGACAGGCAGCAGAGGGGTGGGTGAAGGGAGACACCGGGCAGTGTAATATAAGATACAATAATAATTTATAAATTATCAAGGGTGCATGGGGAGAGGGGAGGAGGAAGGGAGGGGGAGGGGAAAAAAGGAAAATGAGCTGATTCCGGGAACCCAAGAGGAAAGCGAATTTTGGGAATAATGAGAAAACAAATGTATAGATGTGCTTTACACAATTGATCTATGTATTGTGATGAATTGTATGAGCCCCAATAAATTGATTTTTTTTAAAAAGAAAACCAGTTTGGGTTTCATTTTTTTGTCCCTGGGAACCAAAGACACCAAAAAAGTAACAATCTAATTCTGAAGTCCCCACAAAATGCAAACTTCAGAGCTAAGGAACAGCATTACTCTGTGAGGGTAATTTTCCAGGTCACTAGCTGCTACATAGGTAAGCCAGCCCTTAGCAATTCCCTTACCCAGTTCTGTGAGACATACCCAAAATTTACAGTGCAGAATATTTAGGAATAGTTTTAAAAACACTCCCTGGGAGATTATAACATGTATCCGGGTTTGGAAACTGTTAGCTCTGCAAGATAAAAATGTCATGCCAACACTACCCTACGGAAGTCCTGGCATAACAGAAACCCTTGTCAGAACTTGCCTGGCTTCATGTTTTTCATCAATGCAAAACAGCTGAATACAAAAAGCAGTTGATGGTCCCCTGTAGATTGGGCGGAAGTTGCCCATGTCCTTGTGCAGTCCGATAGATGCTGAACTCTCTCTACTGACCTCGTATTCTTCTTCCTCAGTAAAGGAAACTTTGCTGAGTCTGTCTGTGTCCTAAAACAAGAAGTGGGTGATAGAACAGTCTGGGCTAATAACTGAAAAGTCAACGGCTTGAACCCACCAGCCACTCCTTGAGCGAAAGACGAGGCTATCTGCTCTTGGGAGATGTGCAGGTCTGGGAAGCCCTGCACAGGTAGTCCTACTCTGTCCTACAGGGTCCCTGTGATTCAGAATGGACTCAATAGCAGTGAGGGGTTTTGTTGTTGTTGTTGTTGTTGTTGGTGGTGGTGGTGGTGTTTAAAGCATGAAGAGATTAAGAACCAATTGAGAAATCATATTCATTTTCTCCACTTTAAGGGTGTTCTATCATCCCTGCCTTACATCAGGACAAGCATGAATGTCTCACCTAGAAAACCTATCCTGAAACAGACCTAATTTTAAAGAGATATTCTTAATAAAATACTCAAAATTTATAAGCTGGTTAAGGTTCTTATTGAAGTCCAGGAAACAAATGGTTTCAGTTGACCTTTGTTATAGGATCCATATTTTAACTATAATACTGAATAGACATTAGAACATGGTAATAGTTGTATACATATTAATTTTGTAAACGAAATACTTTTGCCCTAAGAGTTTTTCATTGTGATTCAATAATTTTTGGATCTTCGGGCTATCCTGGTGTTTCTAGGTCTAAGTTTGATTATCGTATTGAAGCCAGGAAGCATTCAATGGCTACAGTCACTTGATGTGCATAGTGAGTTCCGTCTGGGCTTATCTCAGAGGCCTGGAGGAAGATGCTATGATTGAGAGGAAATGATTCATTCTAAAATACAACCCCTTGGTGTGAAGCAGATACTGGACCTTGAAATGTATCTGAATGGTACATGTAGGTATAGATATGTGTATAAGCATATGAGTGTGTACATAACATACATAGTTGGATAAATTTACATGTTTTTATCTCTAAAATGCTTTTCTCTTTGGGCAATGAGACAGAGAGAAAATTGTACTTACTAAATGTGTTGCAAAAGCATTGATGTACAAAATACAACCTAATTACAAGCTGTTCAGGGGATGTAGGGTACAGGATTATTCATATTGGAACCCAGGTTCATCAGGAGAAACTTTGGGGAGAAGGTCTTCTAGAATACTGAAGAAAATCCTGCCAGAGAGAGCTGGAGAGTTGAAACTTTGTACAGTCAATCAGGAGCATACAAGGGCTCTGCTCAATCCTTACCTCCATGTCACTGCCATATATACTTTGAACTGTTGATTGAAGTTCCTCAGTCATGGCTTCTTCCGTACACTTTTCCTAAAAGAGTCACAAGACAGAATTCATCAACACAAGAGTGGTTTTATCCCAGATTCTGAATCAAATTGACTATGTTCAAATTCTAGCCCGACCGTTTATCAACTGTGTGACATAGGGAAAGTTACACAGCTTCCATTTCCTTATCTCTAAAAAGGGATTAGAGCAGTTTCTACCAGGTAAGGTTGTTATGAGGATAAATATGCTTTGTAGCACCAGGCTGATGCCTCCTACATTCTCTGCAGATGTTGCTTCTATTTCATGTACACGGACTATTACAAATGAAAGAGCTCATCTTCCAACTGCTGTCCATTGATAAGAAGTCTTGGTAGTATATTGGGTTACTACTGGGCTGCTAACCACAGGGATAGCAGTTTGAATCTACTGGCTGCTCCTAGGAGAAAGATGAGGTTTTCTGTTTTCATAAAGATTTTCAATCTCTGAAATTAAAGGGGTAATTCTACTCTCTCCTATGGATCAGAATCAACCCAATGGCAGTGAGTTCAGTTTGGGGCTGGGTTCATTTACATTATATAGAGATACAACATATTTTTCCATAGTAAATTTGTATACACTTAGTAATCATGTTAAATTCTCTTATTAGTTGCGATAGCTTTTAAAAATAAATTCTATAAGATTTTCTACACAAGCAATCATGTGATTTTGATTTGTGAACAAAAGATGGTTTTACTAAGTCCTTTCCAATGTGAGTGCCTTTCGGAGCAGCCTGAACCACCAATACAATTCTGAATAGAAGTGGTGAAAGCAGCTAGGCTTGTCTTATTCTGACCGAAGTGGGGAACATTCAGTTTTTACTATTAAGTATTATGTCAGTGATAGGTCTTTCGTACACAAGCTTTATTAAATTGAGAATGTTCTTGTCTGGCTGGATCAATATCAGGCCAGCTCCTAGCAGCAAGTGACCTTGAATCTCCCCCACACACCTGCGGAGCTGACCAGAGCTGGCTAATGTAACTTGTCAGCAGCTTTGCAAGTCCTTTTTTCTTTGACTCATGGCCTGTTTTATCACGGCCTGTTTTGCTCACAGCCCGCCCTGCACCTGCACCTTTCACACGGCCTGCCGCCCTGTAACAAGCACAAATACACCCAGAACCAGGAAGACACCTTACATTCTAGAAACCAGGACATACCTGTATTTCCCAATCCCTGACTATTTTACCTTATATGGACTCAAGGCAACCCAACCACATGTTCCCCAGTTATATAAACACCACTCCTGTAGACTGGAGTGTGACTCCCTCGGCCCGGACACTGTGAACTGTGGGACTTCGCCCAGGCTGGGTTTTTCTCCCTAATAAAGCTTGTTTGCTTAAACTCGACTGATTGGGTTTCTAACGCCTCTCGACCACCTTACAGTTCTATTCATAGTTTTCTGAGGAATAAATGTTGAATTTTCAAATGTTTTCTTTGCATCTGAGATAAACATATGTTGTTGTTAAGTGCCATTGAGTTGTGTCTGACCCATAGTGACCCATGCGTAACCAAAGGAAACACTGCCCAGCCCCACACCATCTTCATAATGTTTCCTATGCTTGAGACCCTGGTTAGAGCCACGGCGTCCATCCATCTTGTTAAGGGCCTTCTTCTTTTTCACTGCCCCTCTACTTTGTCCAGCATGATATCCTTCCCCAGTAACTGGTCTCTCCTGATAACATGTCCAAAATTATGTGAGACAAAGTCTACTGTCGTTGCCTTTAAGAAGCAATCTGGCCGTTTTTCTTCCAAGACAGATTTGTTTGTTCTTTTGACAGTTGGTGCTACTTGCAATATTCTTCAGCAGAACCATCACTCAAGTGCATCAATATATAACTTCCCTTTTAAAATTTGTAATACAGTGAATGACATCAATTGATTTTTACATGTTACATCAACCTTGCACTCCCAAGATATTCCCATTTAGTCATGCATGATACAGTACTTTTTTTTATATGTAGTTGGATTCAATTTGCTAAATATTTCTGCTATATGAATTTGACACAATTTTTACATAATTTTATTTCTATTTCTTGTGCCTTGGAATAAGGTGAGAGTCCTAACATCTGTGGAATTTTTTAAATCAAATTTGTAAATTTTCAATCGTTTCTTCAAAAATTTTCTATCCCTGGCTTTCTCTCATCTTCTTTGTGGACTCCAATTACACATATATTAGGTGCATGAAGTTACTGTACTCCAACTTAACTGGTACATTGATTCTTTTCTAAATTCTAGGTTTTTCTCTATTCACGGCTCTTTTCTTCTGCAATATATAATTTGTCATTAGTCGTTTCCAGTGCATATCTTTCATCTCATACACTAAAGTTTTTAGTCCTTGAATTTTGGATTAGAGTCTTTTAAAAATATTCTACTCACCTTTGGAAATGCATGGGATATTTATTATAACCATTCTAATGCTCTTGTCTACTAATTCTAACATCTTTCTCAGATTAGGGTTGGTTTCAAGTAATTAATTTATCTTCACTTACAAATTATATAAATCTCGTTTTTTTTAATTCCTGGTGATTTTTTTATTGGATTCCAAACATAAACTTTACCTAAATGAATGTTGAATAAGTCTACAATCCATAAAAAAAATACTCTGGGGGCTTTATTGTGAGACTTAGTTAAGGTACTTGGAAACAGCTTGGTTCAGAGATTCATTAGAACTACAGCAATATTCTGTCTAGAATTAATTACTCCTCAATGCTAAGACAAGACTATCCTGCATGCTCCCCACTGACTGTGAATTAAATGGTTTTCCAATCTGGCTGGCAAGACAGACACTACTTCTGGCCTTGTCAAAGCACTAGGCACTGTTGCGGGGTGATTCTTCCCTGTGTCTGACCTCGCCCACGTATACTAATCAGTACTCCGCTGAATACTCCAGAGTGTCTTCTATTGATCTCTAAATCCTCTCCCCCTGCATGTTTTCTTCAGTAATATCACTAGGGATGTATGAGAATGTATGACTGTCTATAAATTTTTTGCAGTGTTTCAGTAGAGATATGTTCATTTTTTTAATCAAAACATCCCTGCAGTTAAACAACATCAACAAGAAAATCTTATATACCCACTTTACATGTACCAAGGTCTCTAAATGCTAATTTACTTTTTGAATCTTCTAATGTGCTACGGTAATCAGAATTGTCATTGATACTCAATTTCCAGTATCTGTTTGAATTACAAGCTTTCATTGGCATGCAAAAATGTACATGTTGTTGTTGTTGTTGCTATTATTTATTTTGCCAAATTTTCTGGTGTTTTACCTACAATCTTGTGGTAGGTAGTATTTGTGATCCAATACCAATCAAGTCTTTGAGAACGAAGTGATTAAAAAAAAAAAGGAAGGAAAACAATGTAAAGGCTTCTGCTAAGTTACTAAAAATGCTGTAATGAGTAATGTAATTCAATGTAGAAAGATTTTACAGAATAATGTCATTGTCAATATTGCTATATTCTAATAAGCATAATTCATAAATTTGCAATTATATTTGTCACACCTGATTAAAATTGGTAACAAATATTACTAAGGATTTGTTATGGCCTGGTACAGAAGAAAGCCCGTGGCGGGGGAAGGTGTGACACCATAAGTTACTACACAGAGTAACATGAATTTTAGGGGTACCACTGACTCTCCGCTCTCATCTCTTCTCTGTCCTGCAAACAATAGTGACTCTAGTCTCCCTGGATTTAAAGATCTGACTCCTAGACTTGAGGCATTCCCTGGGCTCTTACCGGTTTCTCCCTCACTACGTGGTGCTCTGGAAACTCTTAAGTCTCAGGAATTTCTGTCCTTTGTAGCCTGGTGAGCAGTGTCTTCCAAACCATTGTTTCATATATTTGGCTATTTTTTTCAAACTGGAAGCAAATTCCAGTCTCTGTTATCTTTGCCAGAAGTGAAAGAACCTTCTCTAACTTTTGCTTTGTTTAAGGAATTACATTTATTCATTTCATCCCCCTCAAGCTAATCCAGGCCATACAATATGCTCTTAAAGGTCCAGGTGTTCTTTCAGTTGGCTGCTCTCAGATGCTTCATTCTTCACTCCACGTACTGAATGTGGGGCCTCTCTTCTCGTTCACCATTCTGTAGCCTTCTTGGAGAGCATGGCTGTGTTTGGGTAAATAGGTACCTTCAGCATTTAGTGGAGTACCTGATTTTGTGAGTATCTGATCCCCTGGCAGAGAACAATGACCACATGAAATTCTTGTGTGGTATTGTAGATTAGAATACGGAGATGACGTGAACATCGCTAGAGAAAATCCAGGTGGCCAAGAGCTCCTACACCCTCTTCCCAAGATTTTCTTCGCATGACTTGGTACTCAAAAAGACTAATTTTTGTTATTTGTCAAGGTGAAAATGAGCAGAGAAGAGGAGCTTGGAGGACTGAAGGAAACAGCACTGTGCCTGCCTCATTCTGGGTGGAGGAATGGATCCTGGGCCCCGCTCCAGAAGCCAAAGGAGCTGAATGGTAAGAGATGCCTTATAATTCTGGCCACGCACAGGGTTGATTTAGGATCAGACTAACCAAACTACCCTAGAAGGAAGCCTGTTCTCTCCCTTTCTGTTTCACCTCCCTGTGGAGGCCTTCTGAGGAGAAGCCAACCTAAAGTTCTTTGTTCCTAAAGACACCAGGGCATACCCTGAGGCCTTGTAGGGCCATGTGAGGACCCAGAGCCCAGTCATTGCATACCCTTGCCTGACTGGGAAACTGTTAGTGGTCAGAATTTGGCAGAGATGGAATGATGCTCAGAGTCCTCAACCATCCACCAAATCCTCTTCCACCTAAAATGTGGCTGATTTGAGATTCCTTTGTCATGGGTTTATCCCTTATCTGTGAAGGTCAGAATGGCAACAAAGCCAGCATAGTGTGCTTTGTTCACTGCATGAGGGGGCCGGGTTCCTGCTGAGGCAGGGCTCCAAGGAGTTGTGGTCGGAGCTTCTTTAGTTTTAGGGGTCAACCATGGCAGGAAATCAAACATAGTCTCATCTGAGGATGTGTGTAGTGTGTCTGTCTTTTCAGAAAGTAGGAAATCTTAGGTAGCTTTATGATGAGCAGCTTTCTCTGCCTCAGCCTCCTGGAATCAGGGAAAGGGTGTGGAGGAAATCCAAGATGAACTTCTGTGCTCTTCTGAATCTTTAGCATACTTGTTTCCTTCTGGACCCACTGGGCTACCTAACCTTAAAGCCTGTGAGGCACCATTTGCATAAGATGTTAGACTGTTTCTGTAATGCTCTCAGCACCAAAGAAGTACATTGCATCACAAGTAGTCCCCAGCCCACCACTCTATGTCAGGTGTGGTAAGTGCTTCTGGTACCTGGATGCTTTCCATGATGTCATGGAGGACATATTCCCGATGATCCTCAATGGTTTTACTGGAACCTTGACTGCTCCTCCTCAGCTCAGCATCTTCGAGAGAAAGAATAGAATAAAGACAGAATACGGAATGATAAGGACCTGCGCAAGGACAAGAAATTAAGAGACAGCAGGAGAATATGCTTTTAAACTGCAGCATATGTGAAGGGGATCTTTCAGAAGGCCATACATGAAGTGAGAGAAGCAGGGCCTTTGCAGCCCACCACAGTCTGATGCTGACAGAAGGCATTGGGCACGTTTGGAGGTCTCTTAGTGCCCCAGTTACCTTGTCTTTGTAACTGAGATAAACCCGTCCTGCCTCCTACAGAATGGTGGCTATAAAATGATGTGTGCAGATCTGGGGCCTGGTACTCAAGGGTTCCTTGGCCATAGCAGTTACTGTGCAACGTGGGCCTTTTACAGCAGACCCTGAGAAGTTTACAGTCAACTGATCAAAAAACCTCCTGGACGTAAGCTTTGAAAAGATATAAAGACAGGAGGGGTGGGCGGGCCAAGCACACTGTTAGCTATATCAGTGCTACCCACACACCAAGGATTCGCACTCAGGCTACTTCCTCTTTGTTTGAAAATACTGTAGTGGCATCTAGATTATGGCAAATATGGTACATGGCAGACACTAATTTGTGTTTTTCTATTTTCTGAGCAAAAAGAACTGGGGCTGAGCATTATTGTCGTACCATATTATGTTCAACCTGATTCAGTACGAAAAGTCAACAACCAGGGTCACTTTGAGTATTTTAACCCTCACTAAAATGTATAGAACAAAAATGTTTCTCATTTTGCATAAAAACTCCTCCTTGCTCCTCCTTCTGTTTTTCTTTCATTGTCTTTCTTTGTATTTGGGAAACATTCCAAGGCTACCGAGGATGTCTTTCACTACAAGAAGAGCCTGTGCGGCCTCCTCCTTTCTAGCTAGCCCAATGCCCACTCTGTTGAGAAGATTTTGGGCCCATCAGATCTATTCTCAGCCTCTGAGCATCTGCTCGGAACAGCCCTCAGATGCTCTGCCCAACAGCCGCCCCTCCTCTACATGGCTGCTATAAGGCCAGAGGAAGCAGAGCTAGTCCAAAGTAACTAAGCCACTGCTGCCAGTGTGGGAATGCTGCTCTGCCTTTTTACTTGAATCAGCTCATTACCAGGACAGCCAGCATCCTCTCTGCTTCCACCTCTCCTCCTGTGACCCTCCAGTACCAGCCTCAGCAGCAATCACTACAGACACCTCTCAACTCAAGTCACCAGATGCTGTGCTCTAATCCTGGATATAAGAAATAAAATAGAATGAAACTGCAAGAGAAAAATTAGGTGCTCAGAAAGGTAAGAAGGGCATAAAAGAAGAGGGTCTGAATTTGGAAGGAAGCGCAGACAGTATACTAAGGGAGTCTCAGGAGAAGAGAGGACATAGGAGTTAGAAATTCTCTTCTGAAGAGATATCCTTCAGGATAATAAAATATACCATATCTCTAGTTCCTGGCTATGCCCTGCAACTGTAAAAATGTCCGGGTAGTTGATATGGGACTTCCAGCGTCCTCACAATGACAAGAGCAGTGGGTTTAGGGGTCATGGGTAGTGTTAATGGTTAATGCTTAGATGCTAATGGGAAGGTTGGAGGTTTAAATGAATCCAAAGGTGCTTTGAAGAAAGACCTGGCAATCTACTTCTAAAAAATTAGTTATTGAAAACCTTATGGAACATAGTTCTATTCTGACACACGTGGAATAACCATGAGTAGGAATTGACTCAATAGTAACTGGTTGGCTTTGGGTTTTACTTTGTTATTGAGATATTCATAGAGTAATGTACACAGCTCTGTGATTTTCTACATGTGTCTACAGCAATGTAACCACAACCCTGATGAATACCAAAAACATTTTCAGCACCTAGAGGTCCAATCGATCTTCCCCGCAATGGTAGCTGCTACCTGGCTTTTACCTTCATTTATTAGTCCGCTTTTCAGAAAAAGAAAAATACTTTGTGTCCCTCAGGCTATTAAAAACTTTCTTTTTCAGACAATTCTCTAGGACAAAACACACACACACACACACACACACACACACACATATCTGCTTTTGCAGATCATTTTGCTGGATCATTCCAGCACCTCTCCAGTGGGCATTATTCCAGTTTGAAAAACACTGAGATGCTTCCTGCATCATTCAGTATTTTTTTTTTAACATTTTATTAGGGGCTCATACAACTGTTATCCCAATCCATACACACATCAATTGTGTAAAGCGCATTTGTACATCGTTTCTC